CGCCGCCGAAACCGCCGATGCTTGCCGATTCGAAGCCATTCGGCTGCCAGCCGGGTATAAAAGAGGCCCGGCTGTACGTCTTCTCACCAGATCCTGTTCGCTGCTAACCAGCGAACAATCTTGCTGCGAGCGTTCTCGTAGTCCGACCGAGAGTACTCGGATTCTATGCCTTATTCCAGGTACACGAGCATTCTCGATACCGTTGCTATCTCCGATACGAGCATTCCCGTATACCCCGTCGAGCGTACTCGGCTCCTCCGGGTATCGATCTTCGTATGCAGGGCATTCCCTCATACTTAGTCGAGTCGCCGCTCTCAAATCCGTCTTCGTACGAGCGTTCTCGTACGTCCGCCGACCAGTTTCGGCCTCAAAGCCTCTAGTGCGAGCGTCCTCGTACTCCCGTCGAGCGTACTCGACGTCCTGTTCCTAATTTCGCGTTGCCGCGCACCGGGATTCATCCGCAGAATCCATCCGGCGAGCAAACTACGTCGACCAATCCGCGCTGTCGAGCGACCCGTCACTATCTACGATCGAACGGACTCGCGATACCGTCACGAACGCACTCACCAACGAGCGTTGCGTTGCACCAACCGTTGCGACACGATCGCCCGCGCTTGCGCTCTCTCTGATCGCACCGAGACGCCTCACGTCGAGCTTTTATAATTCGTTCACCGTTGCTTTAAATAATTATTTTACCGTTTGCCTAAATAATTATTTCACCGTCGCCTTCATATTTATTTCACCGTCGCTCTTGTATTTATTTCACGCCGCTTTTAATAATTAGTTCACCGTTCGTTCAAATAATTTATTTTACTATTTCCGATACTTTATCTTTATTTCCCGCTACTTTGTGTTTATTTCACGCCGCTTCAATAACTATTCCGCTATTGCTTACTAATTGTTTCACCGTCGCTTATACCAATCTCACCGATACTTGTACGATTATTTCACGCCGCTTTAAAGAATTATTTCACCGCTTTCAATAATTATTTCACCGTTGTCAATATACCGATCGCACCAATACTTTGCTATTTAACTCACACTTCTTGTATACTCTTTCGCATTCGCTTCGCACCCGCTTCGCATGTACACACGAGCATTGAAGCAGATCATTTGAAGCAAGTCATTTCAACATCTTACTTAATAAATGTTGTTTCTTTACTTTATTATAAACGAGCATTTGTTTTTATTTGACATACCCCCAACCGACCGAACCTGGATTCCGGCGAGCTACTCCGCGTCCGCCGAAGCTCACACGGTTTCAAAAATATAAAATATTTCGTAAAATATTTAATATTCGATAATTAATTTTACCGTAATACTTTTATGCACAGAATAATGACAAATCAACTGATACGCATAATTGTTTGTAAGAAAAAGTATACAGCTGCATATTGGAAATTATACATACATTTTCTTACGAACAACTATGCATTTTCTTTGCACCAGTTGATTTGTCTGATTATTTTGTCTATAAAAATATTACGGTAAAATTATCGAAAACTAAATATTTTACGAGATATTTTGTATTTTATATTAAAATATGTCAGATTAAAATAAAAAATATCTCATACCATTCAATTTTTAGCTATTTTACTTATATAACTTTTATGTAGAATATTACAAAAAATCTAAATCTTTTTATATAAAAAAATTAGAGTAATTTTATTTAAAAAAATCAAAGCCCAGACAGCACATGGATGTCCTCTGGAAATCCAAAGGACATCCAGTATGGACAAAACGGATTTCCTGTGGACATCCTATTTCAATCCCGGGATATCTTCTGGATGTCCTGAGGAAGGGCAAATAATCGCTCATTTTTAGTCTCTGAATTATCCAAAGGATATTATGTAGGACATCCCAAGGATATTGTATAGGACATTACAAGGACTTTTATAGGACATAAAAATAATGTTTTTGAATTGATATTTCTCAGAAAAATAATGTTTTATTACGTTCATATTTATAATTAGATTTATATTAGATCACAGAAGCTTTATTTTTATTATAATTATATCACAAAAGTTATAACTAAAGCTATAAACTTGTAAATAAAAATTATATTTATATAGATATATATGTTAATTTGTATATTCAGAACGTCAAAGTAATTACTAAAATAATAATTTTTTAAATTATTACTAAAATAATAATTTAAAAAATGTTACATGAAAGATAAACTTAATAAAGAAAAATAATAACATAAAATTATTAATGTAATGAGATTACAAAATAATAACAAAATACATTGTAATTTATAGTTTGTACGTAAAACATTGCACTCATTAATTTTTGCAAAACAAAACTATTAAAAATAAAATAATTATAAATAAGTATATTCGTAAACATTTTATGTTCCAGCTCTATATATGTAGCAATTAAATAAAAGCTTTGGAAAAATTAAAAATTAAAAAAGTACGTACAGTTGTTTCATTCATTAATAATTAAAAAGAAATCATAAATCTGACTTAAGAAGCTATAGGTACTTTTTATTATTATAAAGAATTAATTTTATTCTTTATTTTCCACTCCAAGGTCAGTTCTAGTTTCTTTGCTGCAAATGAAAATAAATTTATTACATCATTATATATATATATTGTTACGCCTGTGCTTTTCACCGCTGATGCTGTGTGTTACAGCTGACGGACCGATCGATAATATCGATCGGTCACTATAAAGTTAAAGCCATATGACATTTGTAAATAACAAGAGTTTTTCTTATATTTGTTGTCAAGACGATATCGATTAACGGTTTAAAGGGTCTCTATGACAGTTTGTAAACAAGCTGTCATATGTCAGATCTTCGGTAGCTGTCTGCTCGGGCGGACGTTTATGACAGCTCTGATATTTAAATTGTATTCTCGGTTACTATTTGTTGAGTGTTTATAATTAAAGTGTTCTCTCTTATAAAGTGTTGTGTTGTTTTACTTATTTTCCGCGAGTTCCGTTGATATATACATTTTTTTTTTTAAATATTTTAATCATTTTTTTAAGATTTTTATATTATTTTATATTT